TTTATCCTCGTCTTTCAGGAGAGAGTGAGTGAGTGTTTGTGTGTTTCTGCATTCTCCGCAGGGACTATTTCAGTTGAGGGCAAAGAACACAGAGAAACTTTGAAAGAGCTTTTATGTACTTTTGAGCGAAATGATCCTAAGAAAGGCTTTTTATAAAAAAAGAAAAAAAAAATTTACTCAGCTTCCACATCCAGAAGGGCACTTACTCAATTACCAAGCTCCCTTCCTCCCTTTCTACATCCATCAATCCCTCCTCTATTCTTAGGCCTGCATCTGTGTTGTGTGTGGAGGCATTGCCATGGGCTAAGAGCATGAGCTTCGTAGTAGAGCAATGTAGGGCATGTCAGTGAGTATACCGTGAGTCAGCCATTTGTAGCCACTTTTTGGCCATATTCTAAGACTTCAAAAGATCATGCAACCAAAAAAGAGACAACATATTTGGTTACTAATCTTGTTAATGTTGATTGTTTTTGAAGAAAAAGTTTATTGACCTTGTACTTTTTCTGGATGATTAATTTTTGACTTTTGAAATTGTTCAAAAAGAACCAAAAACACGTGCTTTGATATCACACCTTGGCTAAGGTAAAATAGGGCATATACAGATAAGGCAGATACTGTATGACAAGCTAACTGAATGTGAGGTAAACTCATTCTGTCGCCCTCACTTTTGCATCTCAGCTCTCTTTTAACTGCAGCCTTGTCACTCAGTAGCCTGAAAGGCAAGACCTCACACAGGTTTGACAGATAAAAGTCTCCTCACTTCATTGCTGTTTGACATTTTACCTCCCAGAAAAGTTTCAGCCTCTCTCCTCCCTTTCTTTCTCTCCTTCCATCTCTCAAACACACACACACACACAAAGGCACACGCACACTCCCCTCGATGTGAGTCCATCTCCTCTCCTCCTGTCCATCTGCCAGGCAAAATGGAGCCTCAGACAAAGGAGACGGAGGCTAACTCAGTGATCTGAATCAAATGGCAAGAGGAGGAGGGTAGCAGAGGAAAAGAGGAGTGATGGGTGCCAAGGAGGGAGCACAGGAGAGTGGGAGACAGAGGTTGGATGGTGAAGGGAGGCATGAGGGGCTAGATGTGAATTTTTTCTGACAGGTTGAAGTCTCCTCTGAGCTGACCCTCTCCCTGCTGGGAGCGATGTCTCCTAGATGTGGGTGCGGTGAGGCAGGATGGAGAAAAGGAGATATAAGAAGGAGCAATGAACTGTGATCATGGAAATGCTGAATGCAGTAGTACCAGCAGTGATCAATAGTAAGCATGCAGTGTATTAATTTGACCCATACCACAGCACAAACTCTTGGAAGAATCTATCAGTGTTACATTTCTCCTGGTAGGTTAATACCACTATCACTCAGTGTCAAGCAGAATTATTGGACATAGTGTTACCAGCCAACACTTGAAGCATAGTGACAGAGAAGACACATCTGCTGTCTGTGTCATTTTAAAATTTCATGTACTGAAAACAGTTTATTGATTAGTAAGTAGTAACACTCTGCCAGGGCAGACTGGACAAACACGGTGACAAGTGACTTCCAGAGACTCCAGGGATGAGAGAAAAAACAAGATAAAGAAGGCAGATCATTGGTTTGAATGTCTGGGGAAGATGCCTGTGTGTCTGTAAGTGGACAAGAGTGGAGTAAAAAAATGTGTTTTAGTCAGATGGTTAGAGACATTCTCACAGCTGACTCTGGAGGCGGAGTAAAGCAGAGAGGAGATACAGAACATACATCAATGCATGAATGCCAATTCATTCTAGTGTTGAAACAATTGCTTCATTTTGTGTCGGTTGACTAATTTAATGAAATTTTTTGTCAAAAATGCCAAACCTCTGTTGATTTCCTTCTTCTCCTGCTTTTCATGGTTTAATATCTTTGTAAATTAAACATGTTGGTTTTGAAGTGTTGGTCAAACAAAATAAGCAACGTGAAGACATTAGCCCCTGTTAACTGGTGATGCAATTAAGGCCTTTAAATAATAACTGACCAAAAATAATTGACAGATAAGTTGTTGAGTAAAAGAACTGATGCAGTCATCCGTTTGAAAGAGGTGGAGATGATAAGATTTAGTCTACAACCACACTCTGGCTCTGTGAGGCTTAGGCACAGCAATGCTTTTACTTAAATGCTAATGTTAACATGCTAACGTGCTCACAAGGACAGTGCTAACATTCTGATAACATAGCGAATACAATGTTTACCAAGATCAGCATATTTAGCGTGTTAGCATTCTAACATTCTAACAGTATTTCAGACTGGGAGTGTTGCAGCTCGAGACACCCAGCACATACAGAATGGGTATCTGCCCCAGCAATTTTGTTACTGCATATGCATGCTTTTGCTGTTCGCTGGTAGCTTGCCCTTGTCCATGGTGAGGACAGGTTCAGGCTCTGTCATTGAGTTAGCTCCATTAAAATAAGAAGCGGTGACCAGCTGGTATGGTGCCGTAGCTGCAGCAGCCGCTGTTTGGTGCAGCGACTGAGTGGTTAGCTCGCTCTGTGAACTGTTTTGCTAGCTCGTTAGCTACACCTGCAGTCTGAGCGCTTGCTTCTGGGAGCAAGAAGAAGGTTTAGACTGAAGAGATGGCGTTGTGTCAGGCTCTTAAAGCAGGAGGAAGTCCCTCCTCTAGGGAGCTGACATCTGTCAGTCAAGACTGGCGTAGTGTAAAATAGCTTCTGGGGGACAGCATGGGGAGCACTGTAGTGAGATACTGAAATGAATCTTGAAAAAGATTCAGTTCTGTTAATACACCCAAGCATCCCTGTCACAAAGAAAATAGGAGCTGTAAAGAAAATACCGTGTTTGACTAAATACTGGCATCTTATCTTAAAAAACAGTGACTGGTGCAGCGTTGCAGTAGATGGTCAAATTATTTGACATATTTCAATTCAGACAACACTGAGCTGTTTACAGCACACACATCTGCAGAACATTAGGCAAGAAAATTCTTCCGCAAACATCTTTATGGAGACACACTTTCACCCCGAAACACACACATATGTGTATTTATCAAACTCATGCTTAAGCACAAAGTGCTGCTTGAATAATTTCTCCTCAGACAGAATTAGCTCAGGTAAGGAGGGAATCGTTACTGTCTGCTTTGTCTCATCTCCATAATTTTAGTTTGCGTATTCTCAAGTAGGTGGAAATGCAAAATGAAACATAATTATGTTGTACTCCCGCTGACAACTGATCTGTCACCAGGCGCATTAGAAACACGACTGTGTACAGCGTGAAGAAAGAGGGTGGGGAGAGGAAAGAGAACTTGTGTGGGCCCGGCTCATCTCTCAGGCTCTGACAAGGCTACTTACCTAGAGGTTGTAAAAATAAAAAACAGGATAAAATAAATAATACCTGCCACATACACACAACTGTACCCTTAAGCTCATTAGACAAACACACTTCCTGTATCTCATTCCTAGTTCTACCATCCCAACCAAGACAGATATCTCACCTTTGGTACAAAGCGCAATTACACCAGACCAGACAAATATAGCATGGGGGTGTAATCTTTCTGAATCACCTGGAAAGTCAAGAAGATAAAAAAGCTGCCCTTCTTTTAAAGCTGCAATGCTGGTGCCTTGTAAAGAACTAGGTTGGCCTCTTTCAGCATGTTTACTTGCAGCCAAGTACAAATTAACCTCCTAAGATCAACAATAAACCTAATTAGAGTTGTGTTCTACAGCACACATCTCTAAACACAGATCACAGCTTGTTGAGAGATGAATCTCCATCTGTCTGGCTGCACACTGGGAGGAGGAGAGACTCAAAGAAGATCAGTCCTAAGATTCATAGAATGAAGCTGTGTGTGTGTGTGTGTGTGTGTGTGTGTGTGTGTGGTGCGTGTTGTGTGTGTGTGTGTGTGTGTGTGTGTGTGTGTTGTGTGTGTGTGTGTGTGTGTGTGTGTGTGTGTGTGTGTGTGTGTGTGTGTGTGTGTGCGTTTGTACGTGTGCGTGTGTTTGTACGTGTGTGTGTGGCACAGGCACAGGGAATGAGTGAGGGAGGCCCTTGTGGCCACAGGGTTACTTCCCCCGTGTCAACCCTAATTTTATGATGTCATACTGCAGCAGGGAAGTGGGACATGGCACACGCAGAGAGAACATGCCATTGGATGTGAGCATGTTTTGGGGGGAGGGGGAGTGTAACTCTAAGGGGCTAGGACAGGAACAGCGCTGCCTTGCCATTTGACACTCACTCCTGGGACAGCCAGACAGGGAGGAACACATGGGTGTGGAAACTGGAGAGTCAAGACATCTCACATAGTCAATTGCACATACATACCGTCTATTTTTGTTCCTATATTTGCTATACTTAAATAAAATATGGTCTCATTATGAATGAAAATGAAATAAATTTAAAAAAAAGTATTTTAAACCCAGATTGCCTGTAACAGACTTGGGCACAATGCTTGTTTTTTCGACTGTCAACAGAAGATGATATCCGCAGAAAATGTTACCCTAGTTATCGTATTATATCCTTTTGTATCAAATAATATACAAATTATTGAATTTCTATGCTGCCTTTCCTTGTCCTCCAACCTGGCCAGGGAAAATTTGTAGTCACACAGGAGATTTGAGGGTCTGAGAAATGATTAAAAAGGGCAATAATTCTGGATATGTATTTTCTGACTCTGCAGTAATTTCCCTAAGCTGTCGTTGGACATGACAGCATTATCACTTTGCCTTTGACACTGTACAAGATAAAGCAGTGGGGACACCAAGGTCCAAATATGTTGCTTTTATAGGTAGGTAGCTGTCCCATTCATCATGTGCTAACACCTAGAGCTCTCTGTAATCCCTGTCTATAAGTTGGCCTGGGGCAGGTATCTTCTGCCCTGCCACAAAGTAAACTAAAATGTAATTTTAGACCCCAGCATGTGGTGAAACAAAGTGAGGACTTGTGAAAATGAGGTTGATAGAGAAATATTGTAATACCTCTGATGTGTGACAAAGTAAATGCAAGACAAAGAGACAAAGTATCTTTCAGAAATCAGTTTATATAACAAAGGGGTTATTATTTAGTATCATATGCCATGGAAGGACAGTGTGCATAACCATTTTGTTTTTTTCATGTTCTTAAGGATACAAATAAACTTAAAATGTTACAAATATAAATGTTTCTTAAGACAATAAAACATACTCAATGACAACATGGAAGGTAGGCAGGGATATGGCAGCTTACACATCATGGTCGGACAGGGTTTGTCAACAGTTGTGAATGTTGTTTGTTGATTCAGCCGTAATTGGTCTTCCACAAATCAATAGTAAGCACTAACAAAGTAGGAGAGAACTGGATATGTGGCAGCTGGGAACTATTTACCAAAAGAAATACTTTGCAAATAGTTCACTCTGTTAGTGGCAATGTCATACTCAAACATCTCAAACAGTTCTTCCTCTGCCTGAGCAGAATATCTTGTGAGGTAAAGTGCACAGTCAGTGAATGTAAGTTATTTGTAATTGCAAACTTTTCTTTTAATTAAAGCGCTTGCCACCAATCACCACCAGAATGGCACCTTTACAATTTTTAATAGATCTCTCATACCCCTGCCTCCTCATTCTTACAATTACCATGAGCACAAGTCATAACCTTGATTTGTTAGTTACAAGCTAAAAAGACGATGGGATGATCAGCCCAGACACAGGCCTGTTTTTCACACTAAAATGATGGAACAGTTCAGGTTCTTTGATCTGAAACTCTCCTGCTAATTTCTATAAAACACATACTTCTCATTATCCTAAAAGATGGAACAGGGGAGAAATACAACAACCACTTACACGGCTGATGAGGAATGTTGTCATTGTAGAAGTTCCTCTTAAAGTTGAAAGTTTGTAGTTGTAGAACGTTGTAGCTGCTTTTAATAAGAAAAATAATCTGAATTCTGATGATTTGTCAGCCACTGTTTTCCAGCCATTTCATCTATCAAATGGCAAAAAATGTCACAAGACCAACTTTTTGTGATGCATTATTTGCATTAGGTTTATGTTAGGTTTATGCGTCTTTCAGAAAACAATAATGGTTCATAGTGATCACTGTTTTGGAAAAGATGCATGATCTGGAACTTCTACAATGGCTAACACCGTAGCTCTTAGCTCATTACGTTCAACAATGCAATCATTACAAAAGTTTTTTTGTATTTTTTTTTAAAACTCCAAATAAATTACATCTTACAAAAGATGTTTCAGTGTTTTAGATAAGAAATACCACATGACTATCATTTTGTAATCACATCAAAATTTCATACTCAGTTCATAATTGGATCAATGTTTATTAAAATGATGGCTAAAATTATATAATAATAAAAAATCAAGTTTTTATATCTGTAATCTTTCTTGTAGTTTCACAAAGAGAGACCTGTACTCCCTTTGATATCCAAGACAAAGTAAGGATTTCCCATCATTATATGTTGTTTTCCCAAAAAACCCCAAAAATAAAGGTTGGCACACGTGGAAATAAAAATCTAAGTTGGTTAAACAATGAAGAAAATGTTTTCAGCCAAATTATTTATAAAGAAATAGACACTGTAATTGTTAAAAACAAGCCACTGGTTGTTTTGCAATGTACAATATCCAATCATAAGGTGAAGAACCACCAAATGTCACAGCAGACATTTATGTTGATAGAGAACTGATATTAAAAAGGGTCTTTTTCAATACTTTAAGCTGTGCAGGTGTAGTGGCGCGGAGGACAAAGGGCAATTACAAAACTGCCTTTGACGGCACATATCTATCTCTCTGCTGTGTACAACACCTCTTTAAAACACCCGTCTGTGCAGAATCCCTTATGCAGAAACCTCATTCTCTATGCTTTCTCTGTGCAACAGCTTGAACCTTATACTCAGAGAAGAATTATTGTCTTCTTAAATATGCAGACTTCTCTGAGCGTTGTGGATGCACCTTGAGCCGAGATGATGTGTAAAATTGCATTTTTAGAAGCAAGCAGGCTGGGAGAGGAGGCATCATGAAACAGACACATCACAAGCAGCACTGTCAGATTGTTTAAATGAAAAATCTCCATCTTTTCACCCCAGGAGTCAAGAACACTGAATCCTATTTTGCCTGGGTTCCTGTTCCGATTATTGCGCTGGCATGGTGCATACACACACACATACATATACATTTACAAACTTGCCCAGACACAAACACACAGACTCAAAGCCTTAAGCAGAGTTATTGTATTACTTAAGTAACTTGCGTTATGGTAGAGGGTCACTTGTGCCATTAGTGTGAGGGAATTGGAGGGCGTCTGGAGACTCACTTGCTAAGACACGCATCATCTTGTCTCCTGTTCCCCTCAGTCGATTATTCTGGTCGTACCCATTCTCCGTGTGGATTCAGTGGTTGTTTTTAGTAGTATCTGCTTACAGTTTAGGGCCATGAGGGGACATTGCTGCCCTAGGCATGAATATATGAATAAATAGTTGACGTGAAGAAACTGTGTGACTGTGGGTCCTTATAGGGGGAACAAAGCTTACAGCAAAGTTTCAACTATTTTTTACACAGACACCAAGCATCACTTGTTTGTTTTGATGCTGAAAATTTTCATCAGGTGGAATATGCTACTGAAAACAACTGAAGTATCCCACCAGGAAACAGGGTCTTTAATTGAGTTGTGTTAAGGTTTGTACTCCTAAAACTCTTTAGTGCCTGAGCCATGGATTCCCTTAATAGATTTTAGGTGTTTTTTTTCCCCAAAGGGTTTTGAATTTATGAATAAAATAATGCCTGTTTCATGTAAGCTTAAAAACATTTGTTCTACAATATACATGATACCATAAATATATCAAATTGTTAATTCCGAAGCAGTACAGCTGGGCTTATATTTATTACACATGTTGAAACAGTTAAACGTGTTTCTTTGTGGAGATTATCTTGAACAAATTGTTTAAATACGGTCAGTTTAGTTTTCCTACAAAGCCTTTTTTGCTATTTTTTTGAAAACCCAATGGGAAAAAAAATATATCTAAAATCTGCTGTGAAAACTCTAAGTGGGTTGAACTGAGTAAAATACACAGATTGAAATAGATTAATATTAAAAACGCTGTAATACCTTTTGTATAATCAAGCTTCACCCACTGGAAACCTGTGTGACCGCAGGGAAGGTCATAGAGTTCATGTTAGCTTCTCTAGGCAGTTAAATGCATTTAGAAATGTGTCAGTCTCTCATGTTAACAGCAAAAGCGACCTTGGGACAGAGATCAGCACCCAAAGGCATTGGTTAGATATTACACAACTAAAAATAAAATGCATCTCGTCAAAATGGAAATTACAGTTTCAAGATCCATGAGTCACATGCTCTGAAATCTCAGCGTAGACAGGGGCCAGCTCTTGTGGCTTTGTGGGATATGAAATGGAATGATTAATGTGGACTTTTTTTGTACATTTATAAGTAAAAATTGTTTTGATGTTGGTTGAAGGAGGGATTGATGGGGGGGGTGGACATTTTACACCACCACTCCTTCTTCTGTCAAGAGTTCAATGACTTGTTCAAGACACTGTCAGCAAGTTGCCAACATGGGTGGTGAATCCATGTCTTCCATTTAAAGGACAGCTGGCTCACTGCCCCTGTGTTGACTGAACTTCGTGCGGTACGTTCTTCTGGATGATAAGCATACGTCATGGTGCAGTCCTTGATGGCATGCCAACACACTGCATGTTCCATGTCAAAACTGTATGTGAACTGTAGTATTTTGGTTAAAAAATTATTAAAATAGAAGGCTTGGACTTGTAAGAGTCAAAATGGATTTTCAAGCAATGAAAACCTTTCATTTCAAACAGCAGCAGCAGCATGTGAAATTTTCCATTTCATGAATCAAACAATCTATGGAGGATACAAATGTTTAAAGTGTGGAGTATTTAATAAATATGTAAGGCGTCTGACAAACAGCATGAAAATTAAAATGTCTGCATGTGATGTACTATAGATCTTAAAGTTCTGTGTGTCTTCTCTAGACTTTTTTTGTTCCGTACTTGGTGGTGTGTGTATGTATGAATACTTTTATGTGTGTGTTCGCCACAGTGAGTCTGTCCCTTCCTCAGATGTCTTCTTGGTCTCCACCTCGCAGGCCTCTTTGGCACTTATCTAGCGTCTTGTGGTAGGCGCGGGCGATCATCGAGCTTGGTGATTTGCGTTGTGGCGTGAACGAGACCTTTCCAGGACTGCACGGCGGTTGTCTGTTCAGACACAAAAAACAACAAAGAATCAAAACCAGAATGTGAGACTGAGAAAGAACAAGAAAGTGTTGTTACATTGATCCATACTGGCACGCAGGAGCTCAACTAAATGAAAGACTGTATAGAAAAAGTGAAGAAGGCAGAGAAAAGAGACTGAGAAACAACATAAAGCAAATCCAGGCTGATTGAGAGCAGAGCAGCAGGGGAGGATGGAGAAACAGAAGAAGCTGCTGGAGTGGAGGTGCTTGTGTCTGGTGTCATAGTAACTCCATTCAGCTCCTGATCCAGGCTTCCACTCAAGAGCCCCTCAACTATTCTTGCATCAGATGCAGCATATGCACAGAAGCAAAAGTAAACGCACACATTCAGCACACACTCAAGCAGTTGGAAAAAGCAAGCGGGGGCAGAAGAACAATAAGATTGCTACAGGTAGGCATCAAGGACTGCAAGACTTGTTGGTGTTTTGCAGTCATTCTGCCTCAGAAAGATTATCTGTGAGATGAAAGGATACAAAAGATTACATTAGCATCCTCTGATTGAAAATTTCTAAAATGAAGTAAAATATCCTGGTAAAATTAAATCAAAAGTAAAAAATAAAGGTTTAAGGTAGCAACTATAGACTCTGTGAGTATAAGGTTTCACTGCTATGTTTGTGGTCAGGATGCAGGACCAGTTGCACTTTGGGTTTTCTCTGTTGCCAGTTCTATGACAGAGTCATACAAACACTGCCTCCCATGCTATCCAACCATGGCTGCCCAGAAATGCCCATGGCATCCACCAGTCAGCCAGGTGGCAGGTGGGGCTGGACAGAACCACGAAGCATAGCCATGGAGATGACTGCAGGCACACCCACACAGGACTCCCTGGTATTTCCAAGCATCCCGCCACCACTATACACATTAGTCAGTGCCAGCTGTAGGGTGCCAGGCGTCCCGGGCTGGGCGTTGTTTAATGGCACTCGCTCCATCCATCATGTCAGGTAATGAGCTGAGAGTGACTGTGATGGCTAGGAACACATACACAAATACACACACACACAGACTCCCACCATCACAGTAGAGAACAGAGAGCAGTCCTCCTTCAGATTGGATACAAAGCATCATGCAGATGGTGCACAGGAGGAGAGAAGGAGGGAGGAAGGAACAGAAAGGATTGGGATGTTTAAAAAAAAAAAAAAAAAGATGAAATTTTCTGTATTCTCTGCTACTTCCATTTTAACATGCATTTATATATAATAGGTCATCATTAAAGCTAACATGCTGTGGCAGCGTGTCCAAAAATGACATCACTACTTATCCATGCACTCATTTTTACATCCACAGGTTGTGCTTCACACTGAATGAAAGCAGGACAACCTCGCGCCTTTCAACACAAGCACTGAAGGGTGTAGGTTTGGTCTCAACATTGGTAGGGACACAACAACCCCACCCCTCCAAAACAAAGAGATTGGCTTTTTAATGCTATCAACCAAACGATTTATTAACATATAAGATCTGAATTTACATTCAGGAATGCCCATACGCAAATGTAATATGTGTACATGTGTTGAATTTCCATATATGTACATATGAAGTAAAATCATATGTATATATTTATGTTTTTAAAGACATAAATATATATTCATCCCAAAGCCTGTCAGTATATGTCTATATATGTAAATATAAAAGAGACATGCATGTTTAAATTCGATAAGAAATGATTAAGAAAATAATATACAAACATATAGAATATTTAAGCATGTTTAAATAAAGTTGCATTTTACAATAAGTATTTCATATATCATGTAAACTTGTATACACCCTCTGGATATATGAAGAGGTGACATATATGTCATAAGTCACAGTATAGTAAGGCATAGGAAAGTCATAGTAACCCACACAGGAAGAACATGCAAACTCCACACAGAAAGGCCCAGGGTCCGAACCCAGAAACTTCTGACTGTGAGGCAAAAGTTCTAAATGCTATGCCACCGAGCCACCCCACAAATAAATCATCAAATAGTAAGGCATAAAAGCGTCATAATATAGCAAGATATAAAAATGTCAGAAAAACGTCATTGTATAGTAAGGGATAAAAAAATAAGTGATCGTATAATGAGGCATAAACGCCACACAGAAAGGCCTCAGCCTGGGAAGTCATAGTATAGTAAGGCATTAGAGTCGCCAATTAACCAAATATGCAGGTCTTTGGACTGCGGGAGGAATCCAGAGGACCCAGAGAGAACCAACGCAGGCACAAGGAGAACATGCAAACTCCACACAGAAAGGCCCCAGGCCTGGAAAGTAATAGTATAGTAAGGCATAAGAACGTCATTGTCAGAGTCCCGCTGTGTCTCCAAGTGTCTACCCTCCCCTGTGTATGTGTGTGTGTCTGTGTTCTTCCCCTGACATCAGGTGACTCTGCAGAGGCGTGGTCTGGACAGCAGCCCACCACCAAACCTGCAATCTATCACTCATCATCTGCAGTATATCTACCCCGGGCATCCATCCTTTCATGGCCAGATTCTTCTGCTCTTCACAGTGGTAGTTATTCTCTCAGCCGCTCTGATTAGTTTATGTGACTACAGAGTCATCTTTTGATTCAGCAATCTTCCCATTTTTTGTCTATACTAACTCTTTGTTCTCCGTTGCTCCAGAAGACTTCCTGATTTGTGGGCTACTGAGAGTGTGTTTACTCATCTGATTCTGGCCTCCAGTGTCCTGGATTCCCTGGACCCACCCCCCCTCCACATTCACCATCATCATTTCTTTCTCTCCCAAAAACTTGCACAGTTATTTCTGATGTATTTTGTGTTGGGTCTCTGCTCTGGGGTTCAACATCAGTTCTAACAAAAACGTACATGGTAAGGCATGAAAATGTCAAAAAATGTCATAGTATAGTAAGGCATAAAAACGTCAAAAGATTCATTGTATAGTAGGCATAAAATGATCAAAAAACGTCATAGTATAAGGTGGTATAAAATTGTCATAAAATGTCATGGTATAGTAAGGCTTAAAACATTATAGTATAGTGAGGCATAAATGTGTCAAAAAACGTCATAGTATAGTAAGGCATAAAACATCATAGTATAATAAGGCATAAAATTGTCAGAAAACGTCAAAGTATATTAAGGCATAAAACGTCACAGTATAGTAAGGCATAAAATGTCAAAAAACTTCATAGTATAGTAAGGCATAAAACGTCACAGTATAGTAAGGCATAAAAGTGTTAAAAAATGTCATAGTATAGTAAGGCATTAAATGTCATAGTATAGTAAGGCATAAAATGATCAAAAAACGGCATAGTATAGTAAGGCTTAAAACGTCATAGTATAGTAAGGCATGAAATTATCAAAAAACATCATAGTATAGTGAAGTATAAATTTGTCAAAAAACGTCATAGTATAGTAAGGCATAAAATGTCATAGTATACTAAGGCATAAAATTGTCAAAAAACGTCATAGTATAGTAAGGTATAAAAATGTCAAAAAACGTCATAGTATAGTAAGGCATAAAACGTCATGGTATAGTGAAGCATAAAAATGTCAAAAAAAGTCGTAGTATAGTAAGGCATAAATTTGTCAAAAAACGTCATAGTATAGTAAGGCATAAAATGTCATAGTATAGTAAGGCATAAACATGTCAAAAAAACGTCATAGTATAGTAGGGCATAAAATGTCATAGTATAGTAAGGCATAAAATTGTCAAAAAACGTCATAGTATACTAAGGCATAAAAATGTCAAAAAACGTCATAGTATAGTAAGGCATAAAATGTCATAGTATACTAAGGCATAAAATTGTCAAAAAACGTCATAGTATACTAAGGCATAAAAATGTCAAAAAACGTCATAGTATAGTAAGGCATAAAATGTCATAGTATACTAAGGCATAAAATTGTCAAAAAATGTCATAGAATAGTAAGGCATAAACATGTCAAAAAACGTCATAGTATACTAAGGCATAAAACGTCATAGTATATTAAGGCATAAAACGTCACAGTATAGTAAGGCATAAAATGTCATAGTATAGTAAGGCATAAACATGTCAAAAAACGTCATAGTATAGTAAGGCATAAAACGTCATACAATTATCTAATGCCTTTACTATAACTTAATCAGACATTATTATGCCGCTTAACTATAAGCATACTATGATGTTTTTTTGACAATTTTGATGCCTTAATTATAAGAATATGACATTTTAATGCCTTACTACTAAACACTATTGAGTTTTTGACAATTTTAGTGGCCTTAACTTTATTAACTAGACATGGTGTGTATGCCTTACTATATAACTGATGACGTTTTTTTGGACAAATTTGATGCCTACTATACTATGTACGGTTTTATGCCTTACTATACTATGACGTTTTTTTGGAACATAGGTTTATCGCCTTTACTATATATGACATTTATGCACACTTACTATAAACTGGTGACGTTTTATGCCATTAATATCTATGACGTTTTCTGCCTTAAGTATAGAACTATGAGTTTTTGACCAATTGTTTATAGCCTTGACTAGATTCACTGACATTTTTTGACAATTTTATGACCTTAAAGAATATCTATGACAATTTTCGTTACGTGCCTAGTAGGTAATACTATGACGTTTTTGACATTTTCTAATACCACTTTATTGTATTTAGTCACTATACTGACGTTTTTAATGCCCTGACTATAAGTACTATGACGTTTTTCGACTTTTTTGCCCTCTATACTATACTTATGTTACTTCGAACTATGGTTTTTTGACATTTTATTATCATGACTATTTGTCTTTATACTATGCACGTTTTTGACATTTTTATTGCCTTAGTATATTGTTATGACGTTTTTTGACTAATTTAGCCTTAGAGTATACTATGACATTTTATGCGCTTGACTATATATGCTTTTTAAAATTTTATGCATTTTATGACTTTTTATGACTACATGTATTCTATGACTGGCATTAGCATCTATATCTATACCATGTTATGCCTACTAACTGACTGACGCTTCTGAGCTACTTACTATGCG